TTGTACCATGCCTGTCTTCCTTTGGCACTCTACCTGTATGCAGCCTGTCCAGCCATCAATCACTGCTGTCCAAAAGTGTGACTGCAACTCCCACAGACATGCCCTAGCTGGTTTTAAACCAGGTGAATACTGATAGCAGGGGAGCAAATGCAGTAGGGAGCTAAGCATGAGCTAACTGTCTAAGGGCTTACCTAGAAAGTTAAATTGTGCTAACCTGGCATGAAGAATGAGGATGGGCTGCAATCTTTACAGGCTGCTTAGCTGTTGCTACCTAGTTCATTTTAAACTGTCTAAATACACTACCTTGAGCTGTAGTGTAAGGATATCCCAAGGTAAGCGAGGAAACACTGTGTGAAATAACACATTTTAACAGCTCTGCTTGAACAATAACCCAACAACTGCTCAGTTCTTTTATTAGATCTTAATAACATATACAGTGCTTGTATATGTATATGTATACAAGCAGTTGTTGGGTTGATGTTCAAGCAGAGCTGTCAACAGCATTTGGAGACATTCTATTAAAAATACTGACACACAATTGAGGAAATTACTTAGGACACGGGCATTTCTAGGCTGCTACTACAGAGTCACCCTAGGCCAGCAATCACGGTTACTCCCAGTGTTAGGTCTTGTTTTAGATAAAACTGCTTCCTTTGCTTTGTATTTTGCTGATTTAAGGAAGCAGCTTAGAACCAAGACAGTTTCTACTCACCTGTATGCATACGCACAGAAATAAAAGGTGCACGTATCTTTAGCCAACACCTACCACTTTATCACCAACAAGCTGAACATGGACATTTGATTTCGAATGGTCCTTCTCACTTGATAGTGTGTACTGAGGGTCTGAAAGATAAGTGAACAAATGGAACTAGTTACATATTTGAGGAATCAGCATGAATCATCCGTCAGGGTCTACTTCCTCTTTAAAAGTGTGCCCATAAGAGAGTACAAAACAAACTAGGAGAGAAAAAAACCTGAAACCATATTAAAGAAACTCCATCGCCACACAAAGGAGCCTCAGAGCCGAGATACTACTGTTCTGTGGAAAATGCACTATGACTGAAGGAAAACCTACTTTCTTTGGAAGCACTGCCAACTTAAATAGAAGATGAAGAAAGGAAACAGAAAAAAGAAAGCACAGTGCAATGGTAATCAGTGGAAATATCGTACTGTACGTGATGCTTCCCTCTGGGACACGGAGCTAGTGCCAGCCTTCCTCCAGCTTGCAAATGCCTCGTATTCCCAAGCCTCTCCTCCCTGCGAATGGCTCCGTTACAACTGCCAACCTTAGCGCTTTACTACGTGGCTCGGCCCTGCTCCTGGGCACCCATCTTCCCAGCTCCAAACCTGTCTTCCCGGCCTAGCTAGCTGTCGGTCGCCCGGTGACAGCCCCTCGGCCCGCTATGGCCGCGCACCTCTCTTCCGCGGCGGCACGGGAGCCCCGCCTG